CTCTGAAAGTACAACCCATAATTATAGCATACACGCAAATCTGTTCATATACAGTACGTAATTGAGGTGATATATATATATATATATATATATATATATATATATATATATATATATATATATATATATATATATATATATATGGATGGATGGATGGATGGATGGATGGATGGATGGATGGATGGATGGATAGATAGATAGATAGATAGATAGATAGATAGATAGATAGATAGATAGATAGATAGATAGATAGATAGATAGATAGATAGATAGATAGATAGATAGATAGATAGATAGATAGATGAAGTCGGCAACGATACATTGTATGTAAATGACTGTTGAGATCATCCGAGGCCTTACCTTCCACCAACCCGGCCTTTCCATTATTCCTGGATCAGCTACTATCATTATCATGTAGTACAAAAACTTGACTTCGTTCATAAGAGCAATGTTTGTAAGAAAAACTTATTATCAATTAATTCTGGAATTATTTAGTCATTTTAATTTATCATGACCATTTTAATTTTTCATAAAAAAAACCCCAACTCTATTGATGTGTTTAAAGCCCAAATTTTCAATAGACCTTAATTTCTTCTTCAGTCACTTTGGTATACATTTCTTCTTTTTATGGACTCATTTGAGGTTATATAAAAGCATGGCATGATACACACGCTCGTAAGACAACTGGAAAAGGAAGGACAGGAGATAACTTTGTTCGTGTACATTTATTGATGACTGTAGCTAATGCCTTTCCAGTAATACGATGCTGCCGACCTCTCTTGCTACAATAAAACGTTCTAAAGCAATGGAAGTGAAAAAAGCCGGCAAAGATACGAAAAAGACAACAATAATAATACCACTCTATAGCTTCCGCATTTCGTATAAGAGTGCATATCTGGCAAATAGCTTCAGTATCTTCTGGCTTCATGCTATCTTGAAAAGCTGATGCTTTTTCCGTCCCTACATTAAGGATAATCAGTGGTACCAACACGTTACACAACCCATAACACGAACACATGATCGGTCTTACTCATACTGTTATTGTTTGCTTCAACAGGAACAATTTCTAAATAATGTGGCATACCCTAAACTGAGTAGATATAACAAGTAGCTTAAATCATAGTTTGACCCCACTTGAATTAAAATTTGTTTTTGGTGGTGTACAGTCAAATCAATTTGCTGTTTAGTGTTCCCAATTCTAACCTTTCTTTTTAAATAAACAAATCAGGACGATGTCCCATGGTTATTATAAAACCACTGAGTGCAAAATATCGAAGCATCTGCAGGTTTAATCCCAAATTTTAACAATTACAATTCGTGTAGGAAATGACACACGGTTTTAATAAAGCTGCTCCTTAACAGATAGTCGTGCTTAGTAAGCTAATCCACCGTCTGAAGTAAATTTACACATTTCCGATCTTTCTTTAATTTCTTATCTACAAGATAAAAGTGTCTTTGATAAAATACTAATATCATATGTGTATTCGAAAGAAAAAAAAGCTCTATTTTAAAGTTGAATAATTTTTATAAAAAAAAACATCATAATGGTTACTTCAAGGATAAATATCATTTATTAGACAATGGTACAATCTGATCAATGAATCATTAAAAACAGATCATTTTTTATTTATTTAATGTTCAAAAACAGATTATACCTCTCTTTTATGCTTGCTGACAACTAGGCTCAAGCTTGTAATATCTCAATAATTAATAAAAGATTGAATCTGTCCTTCGTTTAGTAATCTGAGTGCATGATCAGTTAATACTTTATGCAATCAAGCCTTTTCTCTTTAGAAATTATTTATATGCAAAACAGTTATTTGTAAAAGCTAAGCCAACCTACCTATCTTTTTTATTATTATTTTTCACCATATCTTAGACTTTCACCTGGTATCATCAGTGCCGTCTTAAGGCTTGGGCACACTGGCTAGTTGCCCAGGGCCTCACGCTTCTAGAGGCATCATGCTGCCCATATTGTTAATGAATAGTAGCGTGGGTAGGGATACCGTGTGCATTGCTTTGCCCAGAGCCTACATGTTTTTAAGACTACAATGGGTATCCTCCACTTTTTCTGCAGTCCCAGACTACCACCCATCTATCCTTTTTTTTACACCAATGCTCTACCCATAAAACGATAAAAAAAAGTCTTTGAAATAACACTACACGACCAACAATCAAACTAATACCAATACAAGCACTTGCCACCAAACCTCAAAATCTCATTTACAAGAACCCGTTAGCCTATCAGCACTCGCTAAAGTTAACATAACCTACCAAAATCGAGTATTCATATATTTTTTTTTGTCCCTAATCCATGACTGGGATGCGAGCGTTACTTAGCCGACTCTTGCTTTCTTCCATCCATCATCCACACCCCACAGTAATTTAAGAAAAATTAAGCCAGTAATTACAAAACACAACTGCACAACGGTAATAGAAACAAAAGACATATACCAACACCCAGAGTAAGATATTAACACCCAGACACAAACAATCAGCACTTAGACTTTGATCATTATGCTTAACGAAAAAAAAATACGTGATAACTTCTGCTGAAATTCACGAGTTTCCAGTTGGAGTAAAGACCGAACCATTGGTATTATGGTTTACCTGAAGCTCGCTACACTTGTGGTGTTGTGTTTGTAATTACTGGCTTTGTTTGATTTAACTTGGTGCTGGATGTGGATGACCGACGGGTAACGCAATCATTAGCTAAGTAACGCTAGAACCACGGCCGCGGCCTACAAAGTAAGTTATAATAATTTAAGAACACACCAAAGTATCCATGCAAAGATGCATTACCCTACCAGTGAGCTTGCTTGAGAAACTGACCGAAAAACGTAGCTCAGATTCATTTATAAGTAAAACATAGGTCACTCTGACTTACTTTTATTGTGGTGATTTAGTATTAAGTATAAGGATCCATTCACAAAACCACATGACTGTACATTCAAAGTTGTACGAAACATATGCACTGACCATATGCCAAAGTAAGCTACGTCAATCAAGCCTGAAATGTATTCACGGTGGTCTGTTGTTTTTTTTTCATGGAAGTTAAGTTCTCTCCAAATATGATCTACTGTAATTGTCCTTCTAAACAACATCGTCAACAACAACTTTAGCAAGAAAAGCAATACCAATACAAACAGGAATATCACCACCAACACCGTCTGAATAATAATAATAATAATAATAATAATAATAATAATAATAATAATAATAATAATAATAATAATAATAATAATAATAATAATAATAATAATAATAATAATAATAATAATAATTGAAAGTGCAATTATTATAACAAAATTGATCATCATCTTCATCTTCATTATCGGAGTCATTATCATCGTCGTGGTCGTCACTGCAGTAACAACAATCATTAATGTTCCAGAATAAAACAGTGATTCACGATACTTTAAAAGATAAGCAAATAAAATAAGCAAATAAAACATAAAATAAGAATTGAAGATAAAAATTCCATTGAAGGATGTAAAATGAAAAAGTCGTTAAACATTGCAAGATGGAAAAATTCCACAGCATATTAAAGAACAAACGCAGTTTCTTGAGTTATACGATATCATAGTATATGTTTACATAAATATTTCCAGCGTTTGGTAATATACATTTTCTCCTATGTTGTGCGCTACATAGTTAATCAAAGTGCCCTACCCTCTGGTTTATAGTGCAATGTCTTCTTCACTAAACGCGTACTATATTATTCACTTCTTATGCAAAGTTTGAGTGCGCTTCTAGTTTTTACATAGTGCACAAGAAGTGCACATTTTGCAAGGGTTTATTTAGGTACAAACGTTCAAAAAACGGTGGTTACAATGCAATTTCCTACATTCCTTAGGAACTGCGAGAACTCCGGCATATTAAACAGAAATTGATAATGCTGTTAAGTTTCCACCCACTTCCGGGCAACCATAACAAAACATTGCTTGATTGAAAATACAAGAATTGAAACTGACGACAATATTGATAGCAATATCAGCATACACTTTATGTCGCTGGGGAAAAAGACGTACAAACTAAGACACGTCTTAAAACACTGTTCCAGCAGAGAATAGAACGATCACCCGTTGGCTATCACCATTCCTTACATAACTGAATTAGCAGCGATTCGGGTTTCCACTTAGCAACTTACGTCATCATTAGTTTGAATAATAAAACCAACACGTTGAAATAATCTACTAAGCAAACCGAGGAATAAAATCTGAGACATACTGAGGTGACAAACTGAATATGATTTTCTTCAATCAGATCTGTTACTTTAGCATTAATCTGGAATTAAAAGTTGAAAATTTAGATGTGGTAGTTAACATTCCTTGGTACAGCAGACAATAAAGCTCTGACTTCCCACGAGGTTTGGTAACCAAGGTGACTGCCAGTTGTCTCATTCGATCCAGAAATATTAAAATGCTGGAGAATTTAGTTTGAGTATTCTCCATCAATAAAAAGGACATGGGAAACTAAGGTATGTTGCATATTTACATTTAGATCATGTCCATTTATTTTAAGGTTGTCCGTGAATATGTTTTTGAAAAATAAAAATCTAGCAAAAAAAATGTATAGGAAAGTCTTCTTTCTGAAGCAACGGCTAGAAGAGCCTGTAATAAAGAGCGCGTTCAACAGGTATTAGGAACTATTAGGAAAGTGACAGGTGTAATGTTATGTTGTTTACACTTGCAACATGACAGTGGAGGGAATGTTTGCATACCTGTATGCTACTTTCATGTACTGGGGCTGAAATTTCTTTCCATATTGTACTTGTGAAAATTGTACATGATCTTAGCACACAGCTAACCAAAACGACTGCACCCAGTGTGTGTGTATGTGTGTGTGTGTGTGTGTGTGTGTTTTGGATTTTCAACGTAGCATGGTGTCCCCACCCAGTCACATTCTCCTGACACCAGGCCGACCAGTCCTAATAATAACCTCATAATGCCGAGGACCAAGAGAGGCAGCTGTAAAGTACCATTTTTAAAAGTCTTTATTGGCTCGGCCGGGAATCAAACCCACGGCCTCCTGCATCCAAGGCGTACGCTCTAACCTCTCGGCCACCGGTGCGGACCATATATATATAGAACTGAAGGTCTAAGACGCCATAACACTGAGCACTGCTGACACAATTAACAGTAAAATTAAAATTAAAAGGCATTAAGTTTTCCTGGAATGTTAATTCAGTTTCAGCTATCAGATGAGCATATTAGACATGGGTTCCAAGAGCTTTCCAACAATGGAGCAATATCTATATCATCGAAAAAGACGACATAAACTGACGTGTTCATTTATTGCGTACTTCTCCACGAAAAGTTTTAATTGACGTACCGTATGCAACAAAAGTCATTCACTGCTATGCTAAATATAAGCGAATAATCAAGTGGTCGTACTTGCAGGGGAAACAAAGGTAAAAGTATATGTAGAAAATACGAATTTGATTTCGATATGAAATAATCATTATTTAAAGATGAATTGTGGGCAATTCTTGTCCATTTAGAACCCAATTTATTTTGGGACTCAAAATCTGCATACAATTCCGATTCTAAAAATGTACACATAAAAATGCCTAAAGACACTTTCAAGAAACGTAAACATGATGTACTCAAAAAAAGCAATAAAAAAGTAAAATTGCAAGAAATTCGAGATACCTTAGGAAAATAAATCCGTTTAAACAAACATGTAGTACTACAAGATAAAAGATACAAGATGACACTATTAAAACTATGCAAAATAAAATATAACAGTAAAAATAAAGTTTAAACTTTCCCTCCATTGGCAAATCATCAAAATGAAAAAACCACACATAATTGCTAGTAATCCAGTTATATCCTGCCTTCTGTGATCATCTAAATTCAACAGAAATAATTCAACTTTATCAAACTTCTGTTACGACTCTTTGATCTTAAAATAAGTAATATAAAAGGTGAGAAGCAACAAGCTTTTTAAAATTCACAAAATAATTTAGTTTTCTAGCATAGAAAGTGAAAATGAAAAAACAAACTTATGGTATTGCGTATGAAATCCCAAATAATCGTAGAATTACAGACACAAGTCTGACTACAGTTGTGAATCAACTTTAGTGGAAATTCAAATTAAATCTAACGCAGGACTTTTGATGTGTCTGTGGATGCCTGTGTAGTGGTGATGTGCCAACAGTCTTTTGTTGAATCACAATAATACAATCCAAGAATAAATCCTTATTTAAAATTTCACTATAAATTCAAGTTTCTATTTTCAAGAAACTTGAAACTAACGTCCAACTTTTAATTTACAACTGAGAAAGAAATACCATTTAAACATAGGCATTTATCGTTATCTCTTTCAAAATGGTCAATGGCGAATGTGCGTTCTAAATTATTCCCCTTTCATTACACGCGAAGACAAATAAAAGTGGTGCTGGCGCTGTGCAAGTGCCAATTAAAGAAAATCACTCCATACATTTCAATTCCCAGTGCAAATTATTGGAAACTTAGATTTAGAAAAAAAAAAGGAGAAAAACTGGCGTATTATAGGGCTTGTTACTACCGCCTAGTGAAATAATGTACCATGAAATTGAGAAATGAGGACAAATGTTGGAAAATACAAATAACTGCCAAGAAATTGTGTTTTACAGTGATGTATTTACAACGATTGAAAGATAAGAGAATTTTGCTTCTTTTGGATCATTTCAGACTCCGAAACGAAATACGAATTTTGATGTTTTCAAATATCGACAGGGTTTTGAATTATGTGCTAAAGATAATAGAGAAAAACAGCAAACAAGAAAGACCACGTACATTCCGTAAGAAAATCTTCCAGATATAGAACGCTTCCATCTGGCTGTTTCTGCATCAACAATAGGCTATCCTCATTGCCTACCATTTTTAGTTACAGCTCCATGCAATTCGCCATGTAAATTACAGCTCAAGTCCAAGATAAATATGCTGTATGAACGTGTCAGAATTTTACATAACGGATGCAGTCTAAAAGAAAAGACATATACTTATGATCGTCTTAAAATATATTTTGATTTTCCTGTTTTGTTTGGTATGGAAATAGGAGCCTTACAAACACTGCCACCTATATGTTACTCGTGTTTATTTCTTGTCTTTTTTAACAGGTAGAAACCTTGTTTTGTACAACTTTATACCACAAAAGATTTAAAAATAAATAATATATTTTGAATTTAGTGACAAGTTTATGAAGAGCAAAGATTAATGAAAAATACAATGGAAAGAAGGAAAAACGTGTATATCTTCATTGATATTTTCTTAACACAGTTTCCATGGCTACACGCAAGTGACCACAAAACTTTCTCAGATGCGGAATCATGCCACTTCATATTTTAACATCCATTATGCAATGATACTTGGAAGCGGGAGGGGGGATCGCCATTATCCTATATAGTCCTTTCCACTTGTCGACAATTGTAATGTCTTTATGAAGCTTCATCCCGTTGGTAACCTCAGCAATATTGTTCTTTTTTTTTCTCTCACCCATGTAACACAGACACTTAGCTGTTTTGCCAACCCTACTTTTCTCATCTTATTCAGCTCGTATCAGTCACGATATACTCGTGCTTCGACCTACTTCTTGAAAGTTGAAGCCCTTATTGCTCCTGCTATGCCTGTTAAAAAGTCCAAAAATATATAACAAAAACAAATTCACCTGAAAAGCGACTCAAGGTCCCTCCAACTTTGGTAGCACCTATACAAGGTGAGAAACTGCTCTTTTTTGATGGGATGCACAATTTTCCAAAGTTTATCATTTGGGGTTCAAAACGAATCTCTAGTATCTTTAATAACACTTTCTCAGCTCAGATAATCTGATATAGTTTATAACTTTAAAATCAGTGTCATTATCATTATCATCAACCATCATTTGCCGAAAAGAAATGTATATCTAAAGATTTACAACCAGTCAGTTTCGTGTTAAAGATAGTCTGTATTTTAAACATGCATTGGTAAAACTTCCGCGATGCAAGGTTCAAACTACGATATAATGGTTGTTCCAAGGCACGAAATAAATTTAATACAGCAGACATTCATATCAAGACGAAGCACAAAGATGTGCAAACATGTTCTTGAGTAAAAAAGCAGATGTCCCAACATGTACTGTTCTTGTTCGTCCGTCGAGTCAACGAAGACTACTCTAGTCATCAGTGAGTTGAAGGGGCTGGTTCTGTTCTGTGTGTGCGCAGGTGGCTGATAAGGCCAATCCTTGCACAGAAGGTTCGGTTGCAAAAGGGACATGGGATGAGTGGGATGTGTCCAGGAGGGTTGCTGGCACGTGCTTTTCTGCCTTGACTCTTCATCTCTGCAGCTGCTATCCTGCTCGATTCGCACTGCTTGGAGTCTTTGTGCAGATAGGAATGCCAAGTGACAGGATATATAGCTGTTTGCTCCCATGAGGCAGGGTTTATGTTGAACGCTTTCAATGCAGCTTTCAAATTGTCTTTGAAGCGTTTCGTCTGACCTCCGTGGGATCGCTGTCCTTGCTGGAGCTCGCCATAGAAAAGTCTCTTAGGTAGCCGGTGGTCTGGCATGCGTACAACATGTCCCGCCTGGCGTAGCTGGGACTGCATCAGGATGGTGTGAATGCTGGGGAGACCTGCTTGGGCGAGTACCTCGATGTCTGGGACTTTGTACTACTATACCTTTGAATGACTTATGTTAAATACAAATTGTATACTGTACAGAGTACTGTTTTATATGCGCAAGTTTAAACTAGTCTGAGGAAATCTTACTCATTGTTTCCAAAGTACGTGAATTCATACAAATTTTGCGCGATTCCCGCATTTGCGTCTCTGATTAGTATACGTAGCATGTGAACAACTAATGCACAGTTTCGTACTATTGTGACATTGAATATCAATAGCGAACTGCTTCTTTGTTGTCACAGGTGAGTTGTTTTGATTTAGTATGTCACACACACACATGTATTATGTATGTATGTATGCGTGTGTGCATGCGTGCGTGCGCATGTATGTATGTATGTATGTATGTATGTATGTATGTATGTATGTATGTATGTATGTATGTATGTATGTATGTATGTATGTATGTATGTATGTATGTATGTATGTATGTATGTATGTATGTGCACACAAATGACCCGCAGTCAAAGTTTGATTGTGAGAAACGTATACTGGGTCAAAGCGTGCATTGCGTCGAAAAATAACTGCGACCTAATGTTTCACGATCGATTTCTCATCTCTTCTTTTTCATACGAAAATATTTTGTTTAGAAACTAAACTATCCCACTCGCTTGAAAAGGAATAATAAGCTCTAATTCCAATACGTAAGCCCCAAATTTTCTAAAATATTGTTTTTATGGGGAAGGGCTATATTTGGATAAAGATATCGCACATTATCTTTTGCAGCTGCTTATCACATTGAAACAAATTATAATGACTTCAGTTTTGTTTCCTGTTTGCGACTATTGAGATAACGAAACAAGATGTCGCCTTGCACCCAATTCCAAGAGCTATTCGTAAATGTCAACAATCACATCAATAAAATACACGTTAGCAAGAGATTTTTATTGCATAAATAACATCACATTATATATATATATATATATATATATATATATATATATATATATATATATATATATATATATATATATATATATATATATATATATATATATATATATATATATATATATAAAGAATACAAATCATATGGCGAATAACAACCCTCTCAAGCGTACTGGATCCACCAAGGGATCACGTCTGTCAGGGATTAATTAAAATAGATGCAATAAACTGACGACGAACAGTACGAAACTAGTAACTAACTAGCCTAAGCGCTTTCGACTCTTAATGAGTCTTTTTCAAAGGCAAATACAAAACATAGTTACGACTATTAAGAGTCGAAAGCGCTTAGGCTAGTTAAGAGTCGAAAGCGCTTAGGCTAGTTAGTTACTAGTTTCGTACTGTTCGTCGTCAGTTTATTGCATATATATATATATATATATATATATATATATATATATATATATATATATATATATATATATATATATATATATATATACATACATACATACATACATACATGCATGCATGCATGCATGCATGCATGCA